ATATGTTAAATTCTTATAAAAATTATTTTGTTTCGAGTTATTATAAATACCTAGTAATCTGTAATATATAATTGATTATATTTGTGGAAAAATATTCTTTAAAATGATAAAATATCAATTTTTTTAAATATAATAAATACATTGAATACACAAGTTGTTTTGGATTTGTTTGCTAAAATTAATTTATTTTTTTGTGATTATTTAGTCACTATTTAAATTAATTTATATCAACATATGTCTGTAGATATAATATGTGCCTAAATAGTAATTAAAATTCTGAAAATGCATTTAGAGGAAAAATGAACTGCCTCCTATTATTGAACACTTTATTGGGAGAAATGTATTCTATATATATATATATATATATGAATACTTTTGAATCCGATACATTCTCGTAGAATTTAAAAAAAGTTATTGGAAAGTTATTGGTCGCATAATCGTTAGAACATAATTTTATACAGCACACATGAATAGAAAATAAATCATGAATTATATATAATATCAATAGAGGAGGACTCTTTTATAAACGTGTACATACGTCTATATATATACGTCTATATATATATATACTTGTGAAATTATTTGCTTGTCATCTCCTTGCTTTGATTATCTATTTCAAATATATTTATAATATCAGAGAATCCATTAAAGGTAAATTATTATTGTAATATATATAAGATACATGGCTATATATATATTAGGAATGTAATAAATCACTTCGTTTTACATATATTCGAACATTTCAGAAATACTGAAAGTATATTTTTGTATATTTAAATTAAAATATTTTTTAGGAAAGTATATAAGTCATAAAATTACGAAATTTATTAATGTTAAAAAAATTTTCTAGCTAAAATGTAATAACTACAAAAAAGATAATAAACGTTCTTTTTATTTTTTCAGTACTTCTGATACATCATAGGCGAGTATATTGTAATAGTACTAACAAACCTTCGAAAGTAATAAAAAGCGTATTTCTATTTCATATTATCAAGAATTGTATTATTTTCAAGTCTTCAATATTAAAAGCATATCATTGGTAAATATACATACGTAGTGTGGCAAGCATAAGCATACATCTATTGACTACATTTATTAATTGTCAATACATATAGATATATTTCTCAATATATCTGCTTATTGTAATTATTTTTAAAAATCCATATTTCACACACACACACACACACACACACACACACACACACACACATGAACATGGATTTTTCAATACATATATATTGAAATTCTCCATTTTTTTTTTAAAGAAAATGCTTATTCTACTTTTTCAAAGGAATGAAGTAAATTAAGGAGAAAACTGAGTATATTCTAAAATTATATATATTTATAAAAATATGATAGTTATCACAGAATTTATGAATATCAGTTTTGTCAATGCAGCATCTTTAGTATAAAGTCTATATATTTATTTATTTATTCATTTTGATGATATTCTGAGAAATTTTTATTTTAAGAAGCCTGTGACGTGATATGTTCAAACGCGTGATTTCTATTTTGACTTAAGTTATAATATGAACAACGCCTAAATATCATACAATATACGCGATTTCTTCCTGCCATCACAGTTTTTGATATTGCACTAAAATTCAATACTTATTTTATATATTATTTGTTAAAATCCTAAGAAATACGTAAAAATTGTAATATATTATTTTAAAATCTCATTAATGAGAAATACGTAAATTATAATATTATTTTCTTATATAAGTTTTATTTTTATTGATTAATAACAAATGATTTAATATCTTGTTGAAAATAATATTAAATCCAGGTATATATTTTTATATCATATGAAAATCTATACGTGTAGTCACTGTTTGAAAGCAGTTTCTGCAGATAGTTTCTATAAATCGATTATAAATATTAATAAGCGTAAATTACAATTTTTTTTTTTAATTAAAGTAAAGAGATTTTGTGTAAGTGCATATTCTAATGCATAATAAGATTATGCTTCGTCTACTAAGGCACTCTATACTGAAGCTTTATCATATAATTATCAGAATTATTTTATTTTCGGCAGAATATATTTCCTGGTTATAAGCCAGAGTTTATAATCTAATTGAAGTATATGAGACAATTCACACATTTATGATATAAAGAAAATCTTGAATTATGAACAATTTGTACTTGCAACTTAACATAAGATTTTATCTAATGATTTATATAACTTCTTTTTAAGATAAATACTTTGATATACAATTTTGTTTAAAAATCCATAAGATGCTGTGATAGTGTGCTTAATTATGTGAGCAATTTTATATAAATATGTTTTAATTTCTGTGCATAAACGCAATAGCTGGATTGAGAGCTATAGATATAACAGCAGTTATAACTATAACAATACATAACAGATAAAAAATGGATAGAGTAATAAATATATTTAAGTAACTTCCGTTGTGTTATCAAGTATGTGTATCCTTTGAGCTAGCGCCTAATTATAAGTGATTCATGATTTGCAATTCGTGATTTATTATTTGTATAGTGTAACTATATATAAATCAACAACATCAACAAATTAATAATATAATTTACACTCCTTAATTTTATTTAAAAAAATCGCTCCATAAATTAAATAGTAAACAACAAATGCGAATTCAATGAATTTGTCCATCCACATTACTTACAAACTGCGAGCTTCACATATTCGAGATTCAGCGAATCACAAATTATGTATAGTTTGGCGCTAACTTTAATAGGACTCATAATACATATCTTTATATCTATAGATTTTTAGGAAATAAGGAAGAAGCTTTTTTTTCTATAACGGTATAAAATAATGTGTAGATAGTTACGAAAGTCTACATCTATCTCGGTTTCCAGAAGGCACTGGTTGTAACATACGTCTGCTTCTCTCTTCATCGTCCAAGGAAGCTTGGAGAGCTCTAGCTAATGCTTCATCCTCGGTCATTGTTCCTTGAAGGCTTCGGAATGGATGTAAATTGCTATTGCTACTACTCGGTGATATTGTCGTTTGACTTTTCTTATTTAGTGCTTCCAACCTACGTAGTCTCAATGCTTCCTCTGCTCCGATACAAGCATGATCAGTGGGATGTCTGTGTTTGAGGCAAAAATTGGCACCGCATTCGTTACATTTTACCGGTACCATTTCTTTGACTTTGCATCCCTTTGAAGAACACTTGTTGGAGAATACCTTCCTCCGGCTTTCTCTACAGTCATTATCTATATGCAATCCTACAGCTACGTCAGGCAGATCGCCGCGCTTTATTGGTATAGGAACATCGCACAACGGACACACAGGCACCTGTATATTCTTCTTGTATGCGCTGGGACAGCTGTGATTTGTATAAGTTATATGGTCTGTGCAAAAGATTCCCTGGCAAGCGTCGCATTTCAGAGGTAAAAAATCCAAGCGGTTGCATGTGCTCTCAGAGCAATGTTCCCCCAAATTTGGAAATTCCATTTTGATCACGTACTTTTCTTCACCAGATCTCTGCAAAAATAATTTGACAAAATCAGAATTACAATTGCATCCCCTTTGACAATGAAAATACATAACCATTAATCAATCCGATTGACGATTTTATTCTAAGAGATAGAAAATGGAATTGAAAATAGTTTGTTATAAAAAAATCAAATTCAAACAATTTTAAGCTTTTCTTTTAGGAGATCAACATATTAATTATTTTAACCTTATTATTCATTGAATATCAAGAAATGATGCTTTTCATTGAGAGATACAGCATAACGCAGTGATTACTTCATCTTTGCTTAACATTGGCGAACAATAAGGATATAATAAGTCAATGTGTTACACTGTGTCATCTGTGTTTCTTGCTGGAAAGCACCTTGTATTATTTGTAATTTTTACTGGAAAGAATGCGATGATGGAATGACATTCAATTAGGAGACATAATTTGTATCTATTATGTCTCCTAAAAGAAAAGCAGCCATAATCAATCTTAAGCAAGGACGATTTAAAACAGGCCTCTTAGGCCTGTTTTCATATATAATTATCTAAAGATTAAAGATTAAAGATTACCAAAGATTCATCAATGAAATTCATTTATGAATTTCCTTTAATTTTTAGGTAACTATATATTATGAAATCGAATCATATTGATTCACATTTTTCTCCATGTTTTAAAACAATTATGATCTCTGATACAATTAGTCGTCACATCACTCCACACCATTCGTTCTCGTTGCCAAACATTTTCTCGATGAAATATCACAAAGTGATATCATAAAAGCTCAAGATCAAACATTCATTATATGTGAGGCTAAATGTTGACGTGGAAATAATAAACACGAGAATGCAATTGTCACGATAAATTTTGTAATGACGATGTACCTTGACTCAGCCAAAATGAAGAGTTGCGAGGAGATTATAAGCGCTGCGTGTTTTTCTCCTCTTTCTCTCTCTCTCTCTCTCTCTCTCTCTCTCTCTCTCTCTATCGCTGACGTAACAGAATCTTTAAACACGTACGTGATTAATCGCTTAAATTTTATGATTGTACGCCGCTACAATTTTCGATAGTAGACAGGGCAGCATTTGACAGTGACTTCGACGAACTAATCTCACTCACGATAACCACATGCACTCAGCAGTCTCAACACTGATGAAACCAGGCACGTGTACTTTCTTTATATATTCTCACGCGGCGATAGAAACCGATGACCAACGATGATCGACGATTTTCGGACCCGCACCTGCCTACACTCTCGCGGAGAAGAATGCAAGGATGTCATCGAGCTCGACGACAAAGAGATCGAACATAATGCGAAATCGCGACATCGCGACGATTACGATTCGTGTGGACATGCAAGTAAATTAAAATCACCCGCTAGATTCGAAAGAGGTAATCAATGGCTGCGTTCAGCGGACTCAACTGTTTTACTGTTGAGCGAGCGTTCACTGTTATTGATATATTCTTCTAGATCTAAAATCTGATTGGATGATTTAAAAGAATACACTAATAATAGCGAGCGTTTACTCAACTGTTGAATTAAGTCTGTTGAACCGCAGCCAATACATAGTGAATCATTACATTCTTATTTGCACCAATCTAAGTTGGATTAATGACGTTGGTCTCCTATTGGTGGAATATGTCAACCAATAGTAGAACATTATCCAACCCAGATCCGCTCGGGTCGAAAACGCAATCCTTTAGTTTTCTATACGTTATAAAAATTATCAAAAGACATAGCGATCTTTCAAAAGCAGAGATTTTAAGTTTTAAAACTTTTTTTTATTTAAATTTCATTCATTTTGTTACAGCAAAGTTACAGCTACTTGAATTTGATAGTTCGTAGCACTATAATCCGTTTCTACCAATGTAGATTAACTTTAATCTTGGTTCAACTTATTTTTCGACTTTTTATAATTCTAAAAATTTGAAAAAGAAAGAGTAAATTGATTAAAGATAATCTACGTTGGTAGAAATGGGCATAAATTTTTCTTCCTAATATTATGCTAATTAAAATAATTATATAAGACGAAATGTAAAGACCTTTCTTTATGCATCTAATTATAAATTTAAGACATTTGCAACTTTAAAAATAATGCCTTGAGATATCGCGCCTCGTAAACGACTGTCCGTTTGCCCTGAGGTGAAATGTTTAGCATGTCCTGTACGTCGAACGGCTGGTCGATCACCGTCATTATGTCCTTACCATAAACTGAAATTTCAGAGAAGCACACAAATATAAATCCATCGTTTAAAATTTACAATACTTTACAAGATTAGCCGAACTATATAGCCAAAACTATTGCTAAGTTAATCGTCCAATCGATACCAACTAAAAGTAACATAAATTTATTAATATAATATATATTATATAACATCACGTTATAATTTTACGCTCAACAACTGTAACTGTTATGTAACACAATGGAGAGCGTTAACATTGTTAGCACTTATTATCATTCTATCTTTATTTTTCTTTATATTTATTTAATGAATGCTAAAGATAAGTATGATATAAATAGTGCTAATAGCGTTTTTTCCAAATGTAACTCAACTGTTATATAAGATTTATATTGCTATAATTATTAAATGCGAAATTATATCATTGATGTTATATCACTTTTAATTGGTGTCGATTGGGTGATGATTAGTTTTCCGATAAAAAATTTTGTATGCATGAAATATGTATAAACATATTAATATGAAATATGTATACATATAAATATATATAAACATACATAAACGCATAAATATTCATAACATGTATAATTATATATAAAATATGTCCACACATGTTCATATATCCTCCTTTCTTTTATAAAATACTTTTTTTATAAAATTATTTTTCAATGTAATAGAAATAATAATAGTAATGTGAAAACATTAAAAATAATTAAAAAGATCATTTCCACATTTTTGGTTTTAGAAAAAAACAAATTTGGAAAAATTGCTCATAACTACATAATTATACATAATTTTATGTATAATTATAATTTTTTTACATTTCTTCAAACAAATAGTATGAAAATTACATTTTTAATGTTTTCACAATACTATTATTATTTCTATTACACTAAAAAGTAAGTTTTACAGAAGAAAGAAGAATGTATGAATACATATGGACATATTTCATATATAATTATACATGTTTAGGAATATTTATGCACATTTATGTATGTTCATATATATTTATATATATTCATGCATGAAAAATTTTTTACCGAGTTTTGACTAGTACAATTTCTAAATTGTTAATACAATCCATCCCTTTTTTTCTTCCATATGTTTAACAACAAGAATAATTCCATTCATATTTTAACAAAATATGATAACAAATAATACTTTACAAATTAATTGAAAGTTATGTACCTTCGCAATGCTCTAAAAATTGAATACATTCCTGCAATGTGGAATCTTTCAGGACCACTAACTGTTTTGCCAATTGCTCCAAGAGCGATAAAAAGCATCTTTTCGCATAGAACCAGGTGTCAGTGCCGAGTTTCTTATTGTAGGGCTCCAGACTCTTCATTACTCGCGATATGCCGAATTCGAAATTACCCTTGGAACAGTATAGTGTCCCGATTACTAGATTCACAATGCACAAATGAAAAAGTTTCTTGTCCTGATCTTCAAATGATACCGCTTCTTCTTCTTTCTCAATCTTCTTCATCAGTTCTTCAGCCTCTGCGTTTTGCGAGGTCATGATATAGCTGACGCAGAGGTTTGCAAGGACTATAGCGCTCACGTCTAGGATCTGCAAATAGATTGCAAGATTAGTCAGATTATGGCAAAAAGAAAAAAATCATAATATTAGAGAAATCAGAATTCATCACAAGATCATCATCAAAAATATCAAATGACATCATATTTTTCCCAAAATGACTTTTACTTGATCTTATTATGATTATGTTTTATTTATTATGTGGAGAAATGGTCTTTGTTTCACTAACACTGTCATATTTTTTCTTGACGATCGGTTCATAGAAGCGTGTCGAGTCCTTAAATTTATTCTCCTGCATGAAGAGCGTATGCGCTACATTCAGCTTCCACACGTCGTTATCGTTGCAGAACTCGACACTCTTCTTGAAGATCTTTTCCACCTGGGTGTAATTCTCCAGGTCCCAGTAGATCTTCGCCTGTGCCATTAATACGGGAACGTATCTGTCGAGAGCCTCCTCATAATCGTTCACAGCTTTTTTCACGGCATTATCATCATGATTCAGTCTCGCCTCCTGGACCTGCTTGGTCGCTTTGCGAAGCGCTTCCGTATGCTTGTTAGCGAGATCATCGAATTTGCGATATGCCTCCTCCGGCGAAGTTTGTTGCGTTATTAGTGCATCCAAAAAGTCGTATAAATACTGAAGAAAGATAATGCAAATTTAAAAATAATTCTAATACTATCAATAAACAAAACATTATTGTATATTAGCTAGGAGTATATTAAATCCTTTAATCGAAATTTGCTTAAAAATGTTTACAAAATAAACTCTATTTTTACAGAATATCTTATTAATCCATAAATATAATTACTAATTTATTTATATTTCACAATCTCAATTTTCATAATTTTGTTTTATACAAACCAATTATTTATAAGTTTAAGTTTTTTTTGTATATAATTTTGGCTAAAATTAGTTAGATATTTAGTTTTCTCTTTATCCAGAATTCTTATTTTATCTGTAATGTTTCTATTGATTATTATCAGCATTACATAAAGGGTTCTTGAAGCAAAGGATAATTTACAACAAATGTCATAAATCAATTTAAATCAATTTAAACTAAAAAAACTTTAAACAATGTGTCTAATACTTTTGGCCAAGATTGTAGTTAAAAATTTTAAAACTTCTTTTAAAAACAGACAAATAAACTTTAAAAACAAACTTTACTATCTAGCTCTTGAGAGGATATATTTTCTGTTACAAGTTAACATCGTTTTATATGATATTTTTGTTATCCTGGTATTTTCTAAATTAAATAGGATAAATAAATTTATTAAATTAAATAAATATTAGAATATTACATATAAAAAATTGTAATCAGAATTTTATTTTTATTTTTGTTAATTTTCATTTTTGCAAAATATCTAATACTAACACAAAATATCTAATATTACATTTTATATACCATATACCTTTACATTATGAATTCTATGAATTTTAACGTATTTGTAAATACTTTAATCAAAATTTCAATTGTCTCGTTAAAAAATAAAGAATGTCCCCTAACATTGCGTACATATTGATATTACAGCCCTGTGTTTGTTGATAGAAATCTAACCTATAGTGCAATTTTTCTTTTTATTGATTTTACACTTGTTGAAACGTCATCACTCGCATAGGGATGTTTCTTCGACGAGAAATTAAAGATGACGAAGTGCGAACTGAATCAAATATTTCTGGGTGAAGTCGCGTCCGTGCAAAATTACGGAGCCTTCGTCAGAATACCAGGTACCTCGCAGCAAGGCTTAATACACCGATCACAAGTGTGTATTATTACTCTCATGTAATAAATACTAATGACAATAATCTCTGTTGTAATGTAATCCATTGATTTCTATGTAATTTTCATCAGGTAAGCACGGCTCATGTCGACAATGTTGCAGAAGTCTTGCAAAAAGGTGAACGAATCTGGTGTAAGGTGATCTCGGTTGGAGAAGATGGCAAGATAGGGCTGTCTATGAAACACGTGAATCAGGGCAATGGTACGGACCTGGATCCTAACGGCGTGGAACTGCAAAGAGATACGCAACGGAGAAAAAATCCAGGAACGACTCAGCACAAGGCCATACAATTGGAAGCAGTACTGAATACTACATGTACCAAGTGCGGGACCAGAGGACATTTGTCCAAGGATTGTTTCATGTCCCCTGATGGCAAGAAATATGAACTGATTCCAGAAATTGAAGACTTAGAGACTGTCTCGGAACTGGACAGTAAGAACGCAGAGAAAAAAATACAGAAGAAGCATAAATCAAAAAAAAAGAAGAAAAAGTCGAAGAGGAACAAACAATCTATTGATGACAGTGATACAGAAGACAAGGAGAGAAGCAAGAAAAAGAAAGGAAAATTTTCTAAAGAACGCAAGAAGCATAGAAAGAAATACAGCAGCAGTTCAAGTGATTCCTCCGATAGCTCCTCATCTGACGACACAAAGTCTCGCAAACGGAAACACTCGGATGATCACGAAACTCGTACCAAAAAATGCAAACATTCGAAAACCAAACATTCATAATAATTGTTCCTGTCCTTTTTGTTTATAATTTAATTTGAGTATACCTTGTGTTGCATATAGCTTGTATATAAAATAATAAATGCTGTAAATTGTTTCAAATGCTCAAATTGAAGTCTGATTAATAAAAATGATTAAGAATTAAACTTACTGGCGTCAGATACTTATAAGTCAAATGTACATTTTCAGCCAAGATATCGGCGGCGAGATCATAATACTGATATTTACAGTACAGGAGTAATAAGTTGGCGAAAGTCTCGGGTGGGAACGGGTTTTGTTGCAACAGAAACTGCAGTTTTTCGAATCCTTCACTCGGTTTTGTATCCATATTTATTAACGCCTGATTGTGTAAAGTAACAGCGTCGAGCTCTTCTTCGGAACGCGGTGGCATGTCCGTTAACGCCTCCTTCGCCGCATCATCTGTAATATTAAGCAAAACTGTAAAAAGACTTTTCTAAAAAGGCAGTGACACGAAATTACAATTTTGCAATTGGTATTCGATGGCAGCTTTCAGATTGAACGCTTCCGTCAGAGCTGTCTCGTGCAGCGTCAACGTATTCCCGACACTTCGAACTTCAATACCCTCGGTAGCCATCCCTACGCTCAATTCTGGATGCTCCCTTATACCGTGCTCGATAATAGTAGCAATATGTTTCAGGGATGCTGCGTACTCTTTCAATTTGAAATAGCAAAGAGCAACGTTATATGATAAGTGAGGTTTGAATCCTGCAATTTGTAATGCATTCGAAAATTTTTTGAGGGCCTGTTCGTACTTTTCCTCCTAGAAATCGTGTATATACATCAATTAATAATGCTCAACTGATAGTAAACAACTAAGAGTAATATAACATCAATTTTTTTTCAGTCAATAATAACTATTATATATATATATATCATGTGTTATATTCATATGATTGTTGTTGAGTGTAAAATTATAACATTGTGTTATTTTACTATTGATGTTTAGTGAAGAATATTACTGATATCTATACCTTGTACAAGAGACATCCCAAATTGATTTCAGTATCAACATCATCAGCAGGACATTGATCCACGAGATTTTTTGCAGCTACCATGTCTTCCTGCCCATACTTTATAGCTGCCTGCAGCTTCTTTACCTTGAATTCCAAGTTACTTTGATTGATAATACTCGAACAAATCGTCCATGCTTCTGGATACATGCAAGCTTGATGCAAAGACTGGGCATAATAAAGCTTATACAAATTCTCCTGTGGGCACAATTGAATCAATTTCTCATAACATTGAGCTGCGGCCATAAAATCTTGTGTATAAAAGTAACAATGGCCCAGAAGAGATAAACAAGGTCTAGACTGAAAGAACACTTTATTCATTTTTATTCATTAGCGTTTACATAAATTGAAAAATACAATATCACACATTGTAACATACGTACATTAGGATAAGAATCTAAAAGATTTAACAAGACTTTAATACATTCAGTATATCGTTGTTCTCTTATCTGGAACATAATATTTCATTATTTATTTCTTTATATTTATACTTGTATTTAATTGTATTTTTTCGTTTTCGAAGATTATAAAAATCAACAAAGCAAAAATATTTAAAAACTCTTCTGTTTCTTATTTATTCGACTTTAGATTTATTTATTAAAAAAATTATTTAATGTATGTATATATATATATATATGTATGCACAGTTTATTTTGTATACCATTACATATATTATCTTGGTGTATTCTCCATCTTTTATATGCACATTTTCTATGAACGTAGACATAGCGAAAATTATAATAAAGCACTACGAAACTTTAACAGCTAATTAATACTATTTCATGATATCACGTAGTATACATATATGTACTATATGTGGCTATCAGTATTCATATGTATTCACGTATTGTTTTGACACGAGCTAGATTCGTTGCCTAGGAAACATCACCAGGGAATGTAATGTAAGTTTTAAATTCAAGACACACAACACGCGCGCGCGCGCACACACACGCGCG